GTTAAAATGTATATGTAAAAAAAAGACAATTTGGAGAAATAGCCATTTCCTCAGTAATAGCTGGAGACTTCAACATTCCATTTTCAAGCTGGATAGAAAAACTAGACAAAAGACCAACAAGAAAACAGAGGACATGAACAACATTATAAACCAACTCAGACCAGGGGACTACAACCCTTGAGCCACAGACTAATACTGGTCCGTGGCCTGTTATGAACCAGGCTGCACAGGAGGAGGCGAGTGGCTGGTGAGCAGCAGAGCTCTGCCTTCTGTCAGATCAGCTATTAGATTCTCAAGGGAGCACGAACCCTTCTGTGAACTGCACATGCGAGGGATCTAGGTTGCGTGCTCCTTATAAGAATCTAATGCCTGATGACCCCCCCAGCCCTCTGTGGACAAATTGTCTTCTACGAAATCAGTCCCTGATGTCAAAAAGCTTGGGGATCACTGAACTAGACCTAACACTTACACAGAACACTCTGACCAACAATAGCAGAATAAACATTCTTAGGTGTACATGAAAATTCTCCAGGAGAGACCATATGCTAGGCCTTGAAGGCAAAACAAACTTAAAAGGATTGAAATAATACAAAATGTATTCTCTGGTCACAATGAAAAGAAACCAGAAGTCAACATCGAGGAAATCTGGGGAGTTCACAAATAAATAGAAATTAAACAAAACAGTCTTAAACACCCAATGGTAAAAGAAGAAATCACAAGGGAAATTAGCAAATACTTTGAATAAACATACTAAAACTGGTGAGATGCAGTGAAGGCAGTGCTTAGAAGGAAATTTATATCTGCAAAAGTGCTCAGAGTGAAACCTGGAGCTACAAATGTCTATATTAAAAAAAAAAAAACAACCCAAAATCAACAACCTAACTTTAAACCATAAAGAATTAGAAAAAAAAGATCAAATTAAACCCAAAGCAAGCAGAGAAAATAAAGAAGATTTCAGTGAAGAAACACAATAGAGACCAGAAAAATAATAAAGATGGACAAATTCTTAGAAATACAAAATACAGAAACTGACTCAAGAAGAAACAGAAAATCTGAACAAACATATAATGGGAGATAGAACCACTAAAGAAAAAACTCCCCCAAAGAGACACATGACCAGATGGCTTCACATTTAAATAATTAATATTAATCACTAATATCAATCCTTCTCAATCTCATTATGAAAAAACAAAACTAGAAAGTTTTGAATGAGTTAGAAAACTCATTCCACAAGGACAGCATTACCCTGAAGGCAGACAAAGATATCGCAAGAAAACTACAGACCAATATCCCTTATGAATACAGACACAAAAGTGTTCTTTGAAATTCTAGTAAACTGAATCCAGTGGCATATAAGTACAATTATATATCATGATAAAGTAGAATTTATTCCATGAATACAAGGTTGGTTCAATATATGGTTATCAATGAATGTACACTGTATTAATATAATTAAAGGGGAAAAACAGATGATCACCTCGATAAATGCTTAAGTATTTGATGAAAACTAAAACACTTTCATGACAAAAGACATTTATCAAAACAGGAAAAGAAGGGAACTTCCTCAATATGATAAAGGTCATACATTAAAAATCCACAGTTAACATTACTCTCAATGGTGAAAAGACTGAAAGTTTTTCTCAGATAATTAACAAGGATGCCAACCTTTACCACTCTATTCAACACTGTATTAGAAGTTTTGGTCAGAGCAGTTAGGAAAGAAAAATAAATAAAAGGCATGCAAATAGGAAAGGAGGAAGTAAGACTATCTCTATTTGCAGATGATATAACTATATATGTGGAAAATCCTAAAGAATCAGCAAGAAAACCATCAGAGTTAATAAACAGATTCAGCAAAGTTGCAAATACAAGATCAACATGCAAAAATTATTTATGTATCTATAAACTAGCAATAAGTAATCCAAAATAAAATTAAGAAAGCACTTGTACATATATTTTTAAAATATTTACTAAAATTCATATGAAATCTCAAGGAACCCAGAATAGCCAAAACAATTTTGAAAAAAAGAACAAAGCTGCAGGACTTATGCTACCTGTCTTAAAAATTATTATAGGGCAACCCCTTCGGGTCCCCACCCACTATGGGAACTTTTCTGTCCTCTCATGAATCCTGCTTTCTCACAAAAAAAAATTATAAAAATACAGTAAATCAAAGTAGTGTGGAACCGACATAAAGAAAGACATACAGACCAATGGAATATGCCCAGATACAAACCCTCAAATAGTCGTATGTGATCATACAATTCTTGACAAGAGCATCAAGAACATTCAATGGGAAAAAGAGTCTTTTCAACAAATGGTGTTATGAAAACTGAATATGGACATGCAAATGAAGGTGGACTCATCTTACATCACATACAAAAATTAATTCAAAATGGATCAAAGACCTAAATATAGCTAAAGTTATAAGACTCACAGAACAAAACATAGAAGAAAACCTTCATGACATTGAATTTAGTAATGATTTCTTGGATATGACACTAAAAGCACAGGAAACAAAAAAATAAATAATTGGATAAATTGGACTACATCAAAATAAAAAATTTCTGTATGTCAAAAGACAGAGTCAACAGAGTACTTGTGAAAGAGGCAACCTACAGAATAGGAGAATATAATTATAGATCATATATATAATAAGGGGATCCAGAATATATAGAAAACTCCTACAACTCAATAATAAAAAAGCCAAACAGCCAAATTTAAAAAGGCCAAAAGACTTGAAAATATTTTTCTCCAAAGAAGATATACACACAAATAGCTAAATAAGCACATAAAAAGATGCTTAGTATGAATAACCATTAGGGAAATGCAAATCAAAACCACAATGAGACACCACCTTACACCTAATAGGTAAGCTAGTATATGTATTAAAAACAGAAAATGAGGGTTGGCAAGGATGTGGTAAAATGAAAAATCTTGTGAACTGCTGGTGGGGACATAAAATAATCAGTCACGGTGGAAAAAAGCTGAAGGAAGGTTGAAGAAATCCTTATACGTTACTGAAGGGAATGCAAAATGGTACAGTTACTATGGAACAATATGGCTGTTCCTCAATAAGTAAACATAGAATCACCTTATGTCCCAGCAGTTCTACTCCTAGATATATACCCAAAGAGTTGAATACAGGTGTTCAAACAAAAACCTGTAAGCAAACGTCCTATATCAGTTCTATTCACATAATTAAAAAATGGAAACAACCCAAACGTCCATCAATGAACAGAGAAACAAAATGTAGCATATGCACGCACTGAAATGCTGTTTAGCCATAAAAAGCAATAAAATATTGATATACGCTATGACGTATCATAGATGATACATGTGTTGATACAGGCTACAACCTTGAAAACATGACTAAGAGAAGCCTGGCACCAAGGTCATATATTGTATGATTCTATTTATATGAAATAACCAGAATAGAAGCTCTACAGAGACAGAAAAGTAGATTATTGTTTCAAAGGACTGGTGGGCAGGGAGATTAGTGAGTCACTGCTTAATCGGTATGGGGGTTGCCACCGGGGTTTGAAAAATTTCTGTAACTAGATAGTGGTGATGGTCATAAAACACTGTGAATTTACTCAATGCCCAGTTAATTGTATACTTTAAAATGGTCAAAACTGTAAACTCTGTGTTACGTGAATTTAACACACACACACACACACACACACACACACACACACACAGTCTTCCACCCAGATCCTTTTCCCTATCTCTCTCCTATAGAACAAAGCCTTACTCTGAGTAATTTCCAATTCTTCATTTACTTAAAAAAAAAACTGTGTTTATATATGTAATCACTGTCATTTAATACCTAACAAAAGCTCAATTATAAGAAATAAGATTTATAATATTTTAAACATCTCATGCCTTCTTTTTCTCTAAACCAGCCATCTTTAATTTCTTTTGTTCACGTTTTTGATTATCTATTGATAAAAGATTTTTGAGCAAAAATTGCCAAAATAGATATGTATAAATGTTACTACTGTACTAATGTATTATAAAATACACACAAAAATATAAATTTTAAAAAGTTAAGAAAATAAATATAAATTCTAGTATTTTTCTTTCCATACTTCATTGAACCATTTTGAAAGTATTCCTCTTTGGAGAGCACTTCTAGATGCCCTAAATTTTACTTGTGGGTTGAAGCAATGATCTGCATTTGTGGAACCCTCGCGATCTGCCTTACTAACTTCCTAAAGAATATAAAGTAGTATTATGGATTCTGTATGTTACACTGTGGCACCACCTTTACAAAAATAGATGAAAGAAGTTTCTCTTAGGCCTTTGTACCAGAAATATCTGTGACGTTTTTGAAAATGTTGTTTGCTTTTATGTTATATAACTGATCACAAAATTCTAGTAACACTAAGTACTAGAAAACATCAAGCCAAATTTGTAGCTCATTTCTAGCCACCACACTCACAAGGTATATTTATCTCCCTTCTGGCTTCAGCTTGTCTACCACTCACTATTCTTCATTTAATTGTTTTTAAAAAATCATGTTGTAGGTCACCCAGTTTCAATTTTTCTATTATCCCAAGTATTTATTACTTTTCAAAAATTACACTGTATTATTTAGGTATGTGTATGTGTGTGTGTTGAAAAGTATCGTAAATGTATTTTCTGAAAGACAGGGAGGAATGAATAAAACACAAAATAAACATAAACCCAACAATATCATTCAGAACAGAGGCCATTCTAACCCAGAAGCTCCCCCATATCAAGAGTATTCTTTGTAGATTCTGAAACAGTTGGTAGTAACGCCCTTCATTCAAAAGATATTTGTAAATGAGTATTGATGAAAAGAATGACAACTCACAATAGCACTGTACTACACTTTCTCACTCTTTTCCAGGTGGTAAGAAACGTTATAGTGAGGAAAGGGCAAATGGCTTTTTTTTTCACCTGTGTGCAAAGCTTAACTAAAAAGTCCATGAAAAAGGCAGTCACATAGCCAGATGGAATTTGTAGCCATGTACCTGGATGTGTCTCCTGGTGTGCTCAGAAGTCATTAGGGGCTGACTTGTATTCAATGTTTTCTTGCTGTGCTTGCTCCACTTCTCAAGATATCTCCTCTGTTGGTTGGTGATGCTGCTATATAATTTAATTCGCCTGGGTGACAGACATACTCTTTCATGACCAAAAGCACGGATCAATCGGGCAGTGTCAATAGTAGAAATAGAGCTACTCCTTTCGTGCAAAGTCACCTCTCTATCTGTTTGGGTCAATATATCTGATTCCATTGGAGAAGTGGTGGTGGAAAGAATGTTAGTGGGAGTGTCTGTGAGCACCTCACTCTCCTCCGAGGGTCTAGAATCTGAAGAAGTGTTGCTTATATAATTAAAACCTGGCTGCTTTCTCAGAACATATTTATCAAATTTAATCTGTTCAATTTTAATCTGATTGGACCTCCCAGCTCGATGATGGGAAAGCACCTTGTTTCTTTTAAGCTCTCCTTTGTTTTTATGACTTTTCTCTAAGCTTTTAAACCACTTCTTTTTCTGAAGCTTGTTTCTCTGTTGTCTACCTTTCCATTCCTTATCATATCGCTCCCCTCTGCTGTCATCATGTGTACTTTCTGAGGCCTGGAGAGAATGTGTGATGGGATTCTGCAGAAGTTTAGCCAAACGATCAAGTCGCTCCACCAAGGATAGTTCTTTCCTGTTATTAAATTCAGGTGGTTTCTGTTGCCTCTGTCGCTCTCGATACTTGTTCCAGAGTTCATTCAAACTCACAGTATGCTGAGTTGTCACCTCTGGGATGACCTTATAATCCTTTTTTGGATCATTAATTTGTCTGTTAGATTTTGGATAATCTATAGCCTGACTTTTAGTAGCATGCATCACTTCTTTGTTTCCCAGATTCACATTGATGCTGAGGCTCTTTATTCTGGTATAATCTGTCTTAGACTTGTCCATATTTTGATAAGAAGAAGAAAGACAAGGATATTCTCTATGTTTGTCTGGATGATGCTGAAAGAAATCTTTCCAAGAACGCCTCATGAAAACACTTCTTCCCAAAGATTCATGACAAAAATCTTGATCACTTGGTAGGTGTACTGGATGATGAATGTAAAACTTGGCTGACCTGAAGACAGAATGAGTAGTGTTTTCAAATTCTGAATGACATTTGGACTCTGAAAAGGAGAAAAAAAAGATTTTGAAAGAACTTAAAAATATTAGCTCTGTCCCCCTTGCCTATTCCTTGCCATGTACGTATCTCCATTTGGCTGTATGAATATACATGTCTTTTATAATAAACCAGGAAATGTAAGTAAATGTTCCCTGAGTTTATCAAACCCAAGGAGGAGGTCATGGGACTCCCTTTCCCCCTACCCTATTTATAGCTGGTCAGAAGTGCAGGAAGCCAAGACTTGCAAATGGTGTCTCAAGTGGTAAGCAGTCTTTGGGACTGAGCCTATAACCTGTGTGGTCTATGCTAACTCTAGGTCATTAGTGTCAGAATTGCTTAATGTTGAGAAAAAAATCCACACATTAGATGTGAATACAGTAGTCCCCCTCACCTGTGGTTTCAGTTTCCAAGGTTTTATTTACCCATGGTCAACCTCAGTCCAAAATATTTAATGGAAAATTGCAGAAAGAAACAATTCATACACTTTAAATTATGCACCATTCTGAGTAGCATAATGAAATTTCACATTGCCCTGCTCCAACCCACTCTAGGATGCAAAATTCTCCCTTTGCCCAGCACATTCATACTGTGTATATTACCCACCTCTCAGTCACTTGCTAGATATCTGGTTATCAGATCAACTGTCACAGCATCATAGTGCTTGTGTTCAAGTAACCCTGATTTTAGTTAATAACGGCCCCAAAGCACAAGAGTAGTGATGCTGGCAATCTGAATATGCCAAAGAGAAGCAGTAAAGTACTTCCTTTAAGTAAAAAGATGAAATTTCTTTTGTATCATCTATCTATCCACCTGTTTTAATGTCAGAATGAATATGAGTTTTAAATAAACTTTTTTATTTTACAATAGTTTAGATTTACAGAAAAACCATGACAATAGGATAGTTCACTAAACTTGATACCCAATTTCCTGTTAATACTTTACATTAATACTGTATGTTTATTACAATGAATGAACCAATAAATATATATTATTATTAACCAAAGTCTGTATTTTATTCATATCACTTTACTTTTTTACCAAATGTTCTTTTTCTGTTCCAGGATCCCATTGAAGATACTACATTACATTTAGCTGTCATGTCTCTTTAGGCTTCTCTTAGGTCTATGACAGTTTCTTAGACTTTCCTTGTCTTTCATGACTCTGACAGTTTTGAGAAGTACTGGTCAAGTATAAGTGTTCCTCATTTGGGTTTGTCTGATGTTTTTCTTATTAGACTTGGGTTACAGGGTTTTGGGAATACTTCAAAGTTAAAGTGCATTTCTCCTTACATATTAAGGGTACATACCATCAACATGGCTTATCACTGTTGAGTTGACCTTGGTGACCTGGCTGAGTTAGCGTTTGCCAGGTCACTATAAAGTTACTCTTTTCCCCACTTCCTACAGTACACTCTTTGGAAGGAAGTTACTATGTGCAACCCATTCTTTAAGAATAAGGAGTATATTCCACTTCCTTGAGGGTAAATGTCTATACACATTATTTGGAATTCTGTACAAAATTGTCATTTTCCCCAATTTATTTATTTGTCCATAATTTATTTATATCAGTATGGACTATTTATTTTATACTTCGGTTATGATCTAATGCTACTATGTTGCTAAAATTACCCAGCTATGGCCATTGGGACCTCTTTTACTTGGTTCCTTTTGACATACTCCCAATTACTGTGCATTTTTTTCCTTTACTTTCTGGCACTACAAAATATTCCAGGCTTATCTAATATATATTTCCTGTCCCAATTCTAGAATCAGACATTCTCCCAAGGAATCTTAGAAATTGTCTTTGTGGTCTCATTTCTGCTTTTCGTTGTTTTATACTGTTTCCACGCATGTTGACCATGCACTTTACATTTTGGGAAATATTTTGAGGTATAGGTTGAAGTTTCTTCAGAGAGACTTACATTTGCTTCATATAGGCGTGTGAGTTGGCACTACCAACCTACTGCCATTTTAAGTTAATTTCTGGGCCTGAGGTTTCAAACACACATGTAGTTTACTGCATAAATTATACCAGTGTAAAATTAAAGACTGGCAACCTGTGCGAACACTGGTTTGTGGCTATAAATTCTTAAGATAAACCTGACGTCTTCTCTCCTCAAATTCATTGTCAAGGTTGAGACAGGCAAGTTTTCTTACTGTCTTCTATACGGAACTATTAATTTCTCTTTTACTCTTATATAGCAGTATAGCCCGTTGGAGGCCTATTTTATGCAGGAATTTCCTTTAACATTTTTCAGTAAAGGTGGGTCCTAAGTCTTATGTTTTGTCCCTAACTTAATGTAGATGTCTTGCTCTAGGAAATTCAGCTGAAACACTTACGGAACAGTCTGCTTTAATGCTAAATTACCTCCCTACGTTCCTGCTTTTACTCTACTTTTGAAATCTGAAAATGATTCACTGTTATGTCGAGACTCTGATGAGTTTTAAAAGATATTTTAGGTATTTCTATTCAGGATTCTAATTATTTTCTTCAGGGGAATTTTTCAGGATATCTAATCCATTATATCACCAGGAGTAGACATATAGAAAACAAAGTGAAATGGCAGATGCCAGTCCAACTATATCAATAACAACATTAAGTATGATAAATTAAACAATTCAGCCAAAAGGCAAAGATTGTCAGATAGATAAAATCACAGTTCCACTATACTCTTTCTATAAGAAGCATACTTTTGCTTAAAAAATGCAAATAGGTTGAAAACATAAGGATAGAAAAAGATATATCATGCAAATGACAATCACAAGAAAACTGGAGTGGCTATTCTAATATCAGACAAAACGGATTCTAAAATACAAAATGTTATATTGATAAAGAGGATCAATTCAGAATGATAAAAAGGTCATCCACAAGAAAGAGATAGCAATTGCAAAAATATATGTACCTAATAAACAGAGCATCAAAATGGATAAAGCAAAAACAGACAGAAATGGAGAAATAGATAATAGTAATAGTTGAAGACTTCACTATCCCATTTTAAATAACAAATGAACAACTAGACATAAGATCAATAACAGAATACTTGAACAACACTGTAAACCAACTAAGCCTTATAGGCCTCTATAGAATATTCCACCCCAAAACAACAGAATAAACATGCTTCTCAAGTGCATATAGATTATTCTCCAGGATAAACTGTATGCTAGGTCATATAACAAACCTCAATAAACTTAAAATGATTGAAATAATACAAACACAATAGAATAGAATTAGAAATCAACAGCAGGATAAAATTTGGGAAACTCAAATATGAGAAAATTAAACAAAGCATTCCTAAATAACCTACTAGTTAAAGAAGAAATCAAAAAGGCAATAAAAAACTACTTTAGTAATGAATGACAAATTTAAAGAAGGCCACTAAAGCTGAGAGGAAATTACATCTGTAAGTGTCTATATTAAAAAAAGAAAAGAAAAGAAAAATCTCAAGTAAAAACACTAAACCTCTACCTTAAAACAACAGGAAGGAATAGCAAACTAAAACCAAAGTAAGCAGAAGGAACAAAATAATAAAGATTAGAGAAGAAATTAGTAAAATAGAGAATTAAAAAACAGAGAAAAACCACTGAAACCAGATGCTGGTTCTTTGAAAATACCAACCATATTAACAGACCTTTTGGTACACTAACCAATAAAAAATGAGAAGACCTGCATCAAAAATGAATGAGGGAAGATTACTACTGACCTTACAGAAATAAAAAGGAACATAAAGAAATACTACAAAAATTGTATGCCAACATATTCGGTAATTTAAATGAGATAGACAAATTCCATTCCTGAAATGTCACAAACTGCTAAATCAAGAAGTAACAAACTGAATAGACTTATAGCAAGTGAAGAGATTAAATTAGTAACTTAAAAAACTACCTACAAAGAAAAGACCAGGCCCAGATGGCTTCACCAACATTTAAAGAGGAATTAATACTAGTTTTGCACAACTCTTCCAAAATTTAAGAGAGCATGTCCCAATTCATTTTATGAAGCAAGAGTTACCCTGATAATAAAACCCAACAAAGACATCACAAGAAAAAAAAAACACCTCAGTATCTCTTATGAATATAGACACAAAAATCCTTAACAAAATAGTAACACACCAAATCTAGTAATACATAAAGCAAATCCACATTGGCCAAGAGGGATTTATCCCATAAGTGCAAGGTTGGTTAAACATTAAAAAAAAATAAATCAATAGAATAAAAATCACTTAAACAGCTCAATAGATGCAGAAAAACATTTGGGAAAATCCAACCCCTTCTTTAATAAAAGCACTCTAGGAATAGAGAGAACTCCCTCAATTTGATAAAGGGCATCTATGAAAACTCAGAAGTTATAATCATACTTAAATGTTCAAAGACTAGATGCCTGACCCCTAAGATAAAAACACAAAAAGATGTCTCTTGCCACTTCTACATTGTACTAGAGGTGTTAGCCAGAGCAACTAGGCAAAAATAAATAAAACCAAAAGGCGTTCAAATTGCAAAAGAGGAAGTAAAACCCATTATTTGTAGACAAGATCTCATATCTAGAAAATACTAAGAAATCCATAAAAAATGATTAGAGCTAATAAAAGAGTTCAGTAAGGTTGTAGGGTAAAAAAATAAATATTTTTGGGGAGAAGAGGAGAAACTTTTCAGTACACCAAGTGAACTGAAAACTGGCTGACCACATGCAGAAGATGGAAACAGGACCCCGACCTATCCCCACACACAAAAATTAACTCTAAATGGACCACAGACCCAAACGTAAAACCTCTAACTGTAAGAACCTTAGAAAATGCAGGAGACACTCTTATAGAAGTTGGAACTGGGCCGGGCTCGGTGGCTCAGCCTGTAATCCCGCGCCTTTGGGAGGCTGAGGTGAGCGGATTGCCTGAGCCCGCGGGTTCGAGACCCGCCTGGGCAGCAAGACCTCAACTCTACAATAAATCAAAAAAATCAGCCGGGTGTGGTAGTGCATGCCTGTAATTCCAGTTACTCGGAAGGCTGAGGC